TGTTCATGCATTTCTAAGCTTTGCTAAAATATGAACTGTATTTCAAGAAAAGAACATTTTAAACACATGGATAGACTGTTTTTTTTATAGAAGTCTGAGTATAATAAGATAGTCACAAGCTTCTGTTTTTTTCCTACTGCTTATGTCAAACTTGTGAGAAATGTTTTGTTAGTATCTCACTTGTTTTCTATGTGAAGCCATATAGTTTAATTATTAGTACTCATTTTGTTGCTCATTTTTGCCTCACATTGGTTTAAAAATCAGAAAGGGTTCTGAAATCCACAGAATCCTTAGCACTTTTTTGCAACATCTCACTAATCTTTTTTGAATAACAGGTACAATTTACCAATAATAATCATTGTTGTCAATAACAATGGAATATACAGCGGCGTAGACAAAGACACTTGGAACACAATGAAAACCATGGGAGACCTCACCAAGATGTGAGTACTGCAGACTCCAAATTTTGCATTAAATTGCTGATTATGTGCAGCTGTGTGTACACTGTGGTGCAAAATATTAAACATCTTAGACACAATCAGGCTTTGTTATGTATGTATATTTTGAGCATCAACAGTTTACTTAAAGCCTTCACTGGTACTTCTGTTATTGTAACAGCTTTGACAGGAAAAAAACTGTAATTTGCTATCTCATACTTCAAAATATTGACCATAATTCAAGGTAAACTATGCAACTAATATGCAGTGCCATAGTAGCTAACCCATCAAGCTTACCTGTAAAATCGGACTCATTTTCAGATGTTCCTCATCAACATAATTTTTTATTAATGTTTTTGCCAGTGTTGAATAAAATTAAAGAAAGGTAGGTACAGTGCTGAGAAAAAGTTGGTGAACCCCCAAGGTTAGATTGTATTCTTGTGTATTTTAGATCAAAAACATAGCTGGATCTTACATCGTACATAACGTACATAAAAAGCTATAACACAGATTTAAGATAAACTTGGATTATTTAATTACAGTAACAAAATATTCCAACATTAAATTTCTTAATGTGAATAAATATTGATCCCTTAGTTTCAGTAACTCTTTGAGCAGCAACATCTTCAACTAGTCCTGTAATTGTTATCAGTCTCTTACACTGCCTTTTCTGAATTTTAGCACATTTTTCTGTTTCTAGAAGTATTTTACGTTGGTTGTTATTTGAGTGTTTCCTTGAAGAAACAACTCACTTCAGCTTCTGCCACAACATTTAAATGGGATTTTTGACTTTGTCCATCCAGAATGTTACATTTCTTTTTAAGCCATTCTGTTGGAGATCTGCTTGTATGTTTAGGGTCATTTTCTTGCTGCTTGACCCACATTCTGCTCAGATTCAGTTTACAAACAGATGGCCTGACATTCTCTTCCAGAATTTACTGACACAAAGCATCCCCAAACTATGGTACTCTCCCCACCTGTTACGGACAGGGTCTGTAGTCCATGTCGGGTTTTGTTGTAGACCTATGTGATGCGGTAAGAGCTGGAGAAAACAGAGGCGTAGTATTGTAAAACACACAGGGGTTTAATAGTGCACAAAATAATAGTGACAGTCCATGAGACAGTGAGCAGGGGAGACAAAGAATGGAATCCAAATCCAAGCAGGTCCAAAGACAGGTCAGGGTACAATCCATGAGTTCATCAACAATTAATCCATCCTCTGACGCAACAAAGTTAAGATCCCCGGGCTCAGGAAATGGGAGGTGCTGGGGATGAGGCCTACAGTATGCCCTCAGGAGACGGACGT